TTTACGTTACTTAACTACTATACTAACTAACGTTAATTAATTTACTAAAGTAAAACGAAAGAAACGTAAACTAACCTTAACTTAAACTAACTACCTACTACTAGTGTGTGCTATCTCGTGTGTGTGTGTGTGTGTGTGAGAGAGAGAGAGAGAGAGAGAGAGAGGGAGGAAAGAGGAGAGGGGGGGGGGGAGTGTTTCAAGGCATGGGTATATAAATGACTAATTTTCCACACCTGTGCTCTGATAACAGCACTCTTCTTGTCTTGCTCGGCTTTCTCCACCACAAACTTCGCTCGTTCTGCTTCTTGAGCAGCAATTTGTTTGGCTTCAATCGCAGCTGTGAACTCCTTCCCAAAAGTAAGGCTTGTAATAGAGACATCATCAAGTGCAATATTGAAATTTGCAGCTCTCTCTGTCAATATTTTCCTTATTTCCCGACTTACAGCCTGAAAGCCTTAATAGATTAGAAAAACTTAAAAATAAATAGAAATATGTTTGATGTCAATTGAACCAGATTTATGTGTGGGAGAGAGCAAGGAAACCACCAGAAGTCAATACAAGAACCACGATGAAGCATCATAAAGGAAGAACTTCAAAATCCGTACCTCTCTCTGAGTAATCAGTTGACTTGCATTGTATTGTGCTACCACTGCTTTTAGAGTTTCGTGGATAATTGATGGCAGAACCTTTTCATTATAATTCTCCCCTAGGGTTCTGTAGATAGTTGGTAATTGATCTGCCACTGGTCGAGTAAGAACTCTAAGACCTATCTTGACCTGAAGAAAGCACCAAAAGAGAGACTTTATTTCCTATTTTATTTTGTGATAAGATCAACAGAAAGTTTGTGAAAGGTAGTGTGTTTCCATGCCAAATTGTCTAATAAAATCTAATGCAAGGTAGGTAAGAGAACAGATATTTCACAGAAAACGAAATCAATTAAAAGTGCAAATCCTTTTTAGAGGAATCCCTGACAAATCCATTTTCTGAAAATAGTTCTACAAAAGTTTTAACTACTTTGATCTATAAACAGAACTGTTATCAGTTCAACAATTTCCCAAAAGATCAATAGTTCTCTCCCTCTCTCTCTCTCTCTCTGGTGCAAAACGAGAGAGAGGGAGAGAGGTCAGGTCCTTCTAATGAGAGTCAACATGGGTGGCATTTTCATTAATATTCTGAAACAAATAAGAATCTGGTAGAATTTTTCCAAAACCAATAACAACATACCAATTAATCAACAGTGGAAGAATGAGCAACCAAAACTATAACTATATAACCTTCCAGAATGTACCATTTGAAGATCACGACTTCCAGAAGTACTCTCAACAAGGTGAGGGCGAGCACGGACATCATAAATGATAGGTCTCTCAAACCAAGGAATCATCAAATGAGTCCCCTCAGGATAGACCTGCAAATAAGTCAAGACAAAAATAGATTAAAAATAATTCTCTCCCAAAAAAGGCCATACTACTGTTGATGACACATTACAGATAACAGAATGTGCTAAAGCTCTTTCTCGCTTAATAGCATATTTTTCTTTTTAGTGAGCACACAAAAAAGATGCAGTAAATAGACTCTAACTTAGCATTATCACCCATTAACAGGAAACAGTTCATGAATACCAATTTCAATCCTACCTACCTCTAGGTTAACCAAAAGCATCCCATTAAAACCCAAATCACAGTTCAAATATTCTGAAAGAAGTTCAGTTCTTTACAATTAATTCTACTCCAACTTAATTTTAAGTTCTTGTTCATACCATGGCAGACATCAACCTAAATCAGTACAAAGAAACTAAGAACAGGAAAGTGAGACAATATAGGCAGAGAAAAGCAGGGAGAACATTTAGAGGTGGGAATTAGAGTTCACGACATAATGCCCAGGAATTTATGTGTCCAAGGAGGATTTAAGGCAAGGCCGCAAGGCAAAGCCTGTCATTGATGATGGCTTTTGAAGAACACTGACAGAAGACAAATCAATTCTTCTAAGAATCAGTCCCAAAGCTCATCATGTGAGCATTTCACAACCATCAGATAGGAAAAGATAAGCTTATTTTTTTCATTTAAAAGCTCCTTTCTATTTTATAACTGTATTGTTCTGAATGCATATTCTTTGTAGAAAGATCAACAGGTATAAGTGTTGACAAGAAAGTGGACAAAACTTAAAGCATATAAGTGTTGACAAGAAAGCGGACAAAACTTTAAGCATGTTGCATCCATCCCTTCAAAGAAATGATTAAGTTTGATCTGTCTGCTCCTCCTATTGCTACAGAGTCAACCAATTCCTTTGATTCTCTCCAAGAGTAAAAGGAAAGAATCAAAAGAGGATGACTCAATCTCTAGTATTTCGTCAATATGTCATCACCAGAGGAAGCTTCAATAATTTTTAGCCCGAGTTATGACGCTTGCTGAAAGCTGAATCTCCTCACCCCAAAATAATGATTATGGTTAACCCCAAAACTTCTGTATCCCCAAAGCCTTGATTCTCTCTTTGATACTTGATGTGCTGGAAAACATAATTTGGAAAGTTCTTTTGCCAAATGGATCAAATGGTAGTAAGAATCCAAATTTGCCAGAAGAACAGGCCTGGGGTAGGAATTGGTGGAGAAGTCCATTGTTGAAAGAGACCCTCGATAAAATCTGGATACGACCAATGGAAGCCGAAAAGATTTAAAAAAGGTGGAACCATATTTCTTGAATCATTTTACAGTGGATGAAGAGGCAGTACTGCTTCTTCTGCTTCTCTGCACGAAATACACCAATTGGAGATGGGTATTCACAACTCTGTAAATGGTCAACGGTTAAGAGCTTTGTCTAGACCGACCAGCCAAGCAAAAGTTTGGAATTTGTAGGGGCAGAGATTTTCCTCAATTTTCTGGCCATAATGGCTTATATAGACAAGTAAGGTCTGGTAAAAACATTTAACCGAAAGACACCTTTGCTATTATATTAGGACATGCAAATCATCCTGTCTTGGCCACTGAGTGGAACCAATACCTGCTGAAGGGTGTTAAGGAGGGCAATTAAATCTTCAATTTCTTCCTCTTTCAGGCTGCACTTGAAAGTAGGACTCCCAATGAATTTACCATCGCATTTCTCAACCATTACTAAATAGGGATATTAATTAGATGCAGTTGCAGTGAATCTTCGATATTTGTCAGCAAGGGTTTGTGATTCAAAACACAAATCTTTCCAGAACCTAAGACAAGTACCAGAGCCATGTGGAATCTGTTATGAGTCAAAAATTGTTTCTTGGTGAATTTGATGCCTTGTCCAACACCTAAAACTTGGACATTTCTTCATCCGCCAATCGTGTGGACCTACTCCATACATTTTGCTATGACCACCTTCCATAGGTGCCTTTGTGTCCTCCCCAATTTCCAGAACCATTTTTCCAATAGTGCTTCAATGGCTTCTCAATACTCCTATATGCCAAATGGTATTTCCTTGTGCCTTGGTTGCCAGTGCTCGTGTTTTTTTAGTATTGAAGCAGGCAATTGAAACATCAACACAAAGCATAAGGGGAGATTAAATAAGATAGCTTTTATCAAGGTGATGCACCCTCCTGTAGAATATATCGATACTTCCAAAAATCCAATTTCCTTTCAACTATTTCTATGGCTCTACTCCAAAGCGCTTTCCTTGGGCTACCAATATAAAGCGCTAGGCCCAAGTATTTGCTAGGGATGATCCAATTCCACAGCCATTTGCCATGCTAACTGCTGTAAATCAGATGTGTTTATCCTAATAGCCATTATCTTGGTTTTAGACATATTCCTTGTAAGCCCAGATGCTAACTCAAAGCAGCTAGAAACATTCAAAAGTTATCGATGTGGGTGCATTTGCATCGACTAGCTGCTTCGCCACTAGTGAACCAAGCTTTCCTCTCTTTTTTTTGGGTAAGTACCAAACTTTCCTATAGAACTGTTAAATGTGTTTTTTGGGCTATGCTTCATCCACTGTTGGAAACACCGGTCGATCTAAGCGCCAACCGCCCGGTTAGATCGGAACCGGCCACTGGCCAGTTCCGATTTTGGGCGGTTTTGGTGATTGACCGGTATTAAAAAACAAAATGTATATAAATTCCCAAAAATAAGGAATTTGGTTTGTAATGCATTTTTTAATATTCTTTACATTAGGTAAAGATTAAAATTTGTTTTGGTAATTAATACTCACATTAACTCAAAAATTGATTCATTAAAATCCATTTTTTTCATTACGTTTTCAACTTCATTGAATGTGTTTTGTTTTAATCATTCTTTATATGCTTTTTATATTTTAGTAGATTTCTTTTTGTATCTTTTTTATTTTTTCAACACTTTTTTGACCGCCTAGGATTTGCCTGATTAGAATGGTTGAATCGGCTGGTTTACCCATTAGGCCGTTAAACCGCTTCCGGGCCCATGTCCGGTTAACCGTTCCGGTTCGATTTTATGAACACTAGCTTCATCATCATAGCCTTTTCCCAATTAATTGGGGTCGGCTAAACGCAATGTTGTTAGATTCGGTTCGCTTAGGCCGAAACGGCCAAAGCCTTCAGTTTTATCCACTCAACTGAAGAGAAGCGAATAATTATATTCATGACCCCAAAACTTAGCTCTTTACACCAAAATTTTATGTGTTTTGGCAAATGATACATATGACGTTGACATGTGTAAACTGAAAAGGTAATAATTTTGGTCATGATGATAGGGATTGACTTTGTATGTATATGGAATGATGGCACGTATTGGTCTTTGACACTTTGTACAAAACTACAACGAAGGGAATGAGATGATATATTGAATAGCGGTTTGAATATTTCAATGAGGTTTTCTGAAAGGCCCACCAATATTAAGTCACTGGATGTTGTCCATCAATTCAATGTAAGTCGATATTATATTTTGATATTTTTCATTTTGTAACAACTTTATTTAATATTAAATTTTTTTTTTTTTATAATTTTTTTATAAGTTTATAAAAATATCTATTTTAAAATTATAAAAAAAAAAAAACTCGAAGCCTTTCCTCAAATTAGCCGAAGCACCGAATTGCTTTATTTTTTAGACCAAACCAAAGCAAGCTCCGACACATTGGCTACACGAATCCTGGTCCGCCATCACCCTTCTTAGACCGTTTTCTGGGCTATGCTTATGAGCAAAAAAAGTTATAGGTGCTATGATTTCCATGATCTTTTTTTTTTTTTCTAAATGTTATGATCTCCATGATCTTTTTTTTTTTTTTCTAAATGTTATGATCTCCATGATCTTCATGCTAGAAAAATTAAAAATCTTGATAACATGTTAGATTTGCTGAAGGCTGTTTCTAGTTCGAGCAATTTCAGACTAGCAGCTCAAATTATTTTCTTACTGAATGCGTTAAGCCTACCTTGTGCAACGATAGTAGGAAAAAACACACACCTTTCACAGGTACAAGAACCAATGCCAGCAATCTAAAGGCTCCATTGAGCTTCTCCCACAGCATGATATGCAAATCATTGTTCAAAATCAAGTTAAAATTCAAATCGGACCAAGCCATAAGTTTACTTGCAACTTCAACAAGTTAACTCAACTTGAACCCCCCTCAAAAACAAACCAAAAAAAAGAAAAGAAAGAAAAGGTTTAACTTCCATAATAAGTAGCATAAAAGAAAATCAGAGAAGCTTGCACTCACTGAAAAGATAGGAAAACCTAGGTGACTATACTCAACAACTCAGCTGAGTTTCTTTAAACTCAATTTTTAAACCCCAATATGGAGTTATTTGTGTCTTTGAAATTAAACTCATGAACAAACTGGACTCGAACTTGCTTTACAAACAGTAATATGGAGTTGTGGGCTAGTTCTAAACTATGAGCACACCATGAACCTGAACTCACCTCCAAGCTATCTCATAGATTTGGCCCAACCATCCGTCTCTAGGTACAACTCCCTCTTCAGCTCATCACCAACTTACTCTATTTAGCGAAATACCAAAAACCCAGGGTCCGAGAGCTCGTGGCCACAGAAAATTACTAATTAGTCCCCATCCACTTCTTCAAAACAAAAAAGGTTTGGTTGGTTGGGGAAGACGTTCCAACCAGACCGATCTTGTAGTAGAGCTCAAGAAAATTTAAAAACCCTTGCAACCATCATTATGATCCTTGCCCATGGCAGCCACTGAAATGATACATACTCTCCAACCAACTCAGAGGACCAACTTTCATCCATTTCTTCTGAGTGTTCAGGCCATGAATTTTTACACACTAAGTAAACAACAATTTTTACATCCCTCATTGATTGCCACTAAGCCCCAAAGTTCAGAAAAGCTAAGTTGGTAACCAAAGCCATCATTTCTACCTGTTATTAATCACACCTGCCCGATTGACAGGAAAACACTTCTCAAGGCATTGGCAAAATAAAAATGCAGGACCATTCAAAACTTGAGGATTATCATACCAAAGTTTAAAACATTGAATGTGGTGATTTCTTCTAGAAGGGTCAACACCAATAAATGAGCCTCGGGGAACAAAGATCAACCTGTGATGAAAATAATATTCTGAATCCAGGTTCAAAAGAACTGGATCTAAATTTAAACTTAGTGCAGCAACACTAACAGAAGTGTTCTTTTTTTATCTTTCTTATTTAGATCACTAACTGCAGTTTGATGGGACGCAGATTCGGCAAGGCCTGCCATTTCTGGAGGAAATCGAAGAGGGAGAAGTTTCTGAAGGTCTCGTGAGGTGAGGCCCAAAAGGTAACGAGATCAAGGATTTTGTCAAAACAATGTTGGGCCGTTCTACTTTCCCCCCTGAATATTTTATTGTTTCGCTCTAGCCAGATGGTCCAAATTGTGGCAACAATAGAGGTTACCCAAAGAGAGAGACCGGATTTGGACCATAGGGAAGTCTGAAAGAGGTGGGGGATGGATTCCAGGGTAACCCAATTCCAATTGAATGGTTGTAACAAGTTACTCCAAAGGGTGCTAGCAAAATCACAACGGAGGAAGAGGTGGTCATTTGTCTCCTCGGCCATGGTGCACATAACGCACTTATTAGGCAAGTGCAATCTCAAAAAAAGGATTCGGCTGCCTAGGAGGTTTGGGTGCCTAGGGGAGTTCTTAGGCCATGGTTTAAAGCCTTAAGGAGTTTTTAGGGAAATTTTAGAGCCCCAAACTCCTTGTGAACAAATAAACTAAAACGAAAAAAATAAAATATCAAAATAAGACACATTGTACAAAAAAGGAATCAATTATTCATAAAAGAATACGACATATGCTCAATTTCATCGTCCAAGTGAGAAAAATATCAGTAAATCATCAAAAAAATCAATCTTTTAACTACAAACATGTAAATATATCGTAAAAGAAAAAAAAGCAAAAGAAAAAACACATGATTCATAACATAATACGTTGTACAAAATAAAATCAAAACCCTCTTTCAAATATGATAATACTATAAAAATATCAAAATCGCGGTGCAAACCTCGTCTATGGGGTCGCCAAAAGTTCCCAAAATCAACTATTAGAAGCTCCAAATCCACCCACGAACTATTGCTTTTGTTTTGGGAAGATATCGAGAAAATAAAAAATTTATTGATCTTTTGATAAATCACAAAAGAGTGCTTTTTGAGGGGTTTTTCTCACCCTAAAGGCCACGGATTTTCTATTGGGGGTTTAGAATATCCCTTAAAACCCTTTACCCCCTTTTTAGGGGGAAAAATTATATTTTTTACCCTCACCCAAGGGTTTTCTTCCTCCGTCAGCAAGTTGTCACCGGGCGGTGCCTAGGCAGGCGCCCAAAAGCAAAACGCATAATGCCCCCGCCCAGACTGCGCCTAGGTGTTTTTAAATTTTTTTCACCTAGGTAGTGGGGCGGCCGAATTTTCAAACATTGGGGAAGTGGAGGCCTCTTCTTTGGATATGAACAGTGGGACAGGACAATCCAGCAGAACATCTGCATTTTGGGAGGAGTGAAGGAAAACCAAGCTTTGGCAACAATGGAAGGGGCGTTAAGAGGGAAGAGAGGGGGCGAGGTGATCTTGCGGTACATAGAGGCCAGTGTGAAAGAACCTGAAGGGGAGGGGTGTCATCACCTAAGAGGGGTAGAAAGACTCGATCGGAAGCGCAGACAAGGGGAAGTCAGGATTCCACGACCTCACGGGATATCCAAGGGGGAAACAATCAGCCACAGTTGCTTGGGGGTCTCGTGATAGGCGAGTGAGGAGGGGGGAAAGGTCTTGCAGCAGGGAGGAGGCAAGCCAAAGGTCATTCCAGAACTGAATTTTGTCTCCCACACGAGGATGAAAGCGGAAGTTTGCAAGAAGATGGTACCGACTATGAAGGATGGATCTCCATAATCCTGAAATACTGCCTGAGGTCCTATAATGAGGGATTCAATCCTTGCTACTGTGGCAATATATGTGACTTGTCGCCAAAGATGGTCAGGTTGGATGGCATATCTCCACCACTACTTGCCCTTTTGAGCAAGGTTGTTAGGTTTCAATTTCCGAATGCTGAAGCCACCCTGAGCAATGGGAGAGCAGACCTTATCCCAAGCAATGAGGTGCTATTTGTGGCCATCTGTCCCAGACCAAAGAAAATTGTGCATGATTTGCTCCAAGAGGGCTGTGATCGAGGCGGGCATATGGAACAAAGAAATCTGAAAGATTGGGATGTTGGAAAGGGTGGGCTTGATAAGGGTTTCTCTTCGCGCACCAACTTGCAAAAGCAGCAGACATTGCATGAACAACATAAAGAAGAAGTATAGTTCACGGGGAAACTAAAAATGGTCACTAATGACATTGGGAGGAATCACCAGGACATAGATTTCCATTGCCACTTAGATGAGAGAAGGTGAACAGATCTAGGATTGAGTTTTCATTTGAAAATAAATAAACTCATTCCAGGTGCCACTATCATACAATGTCACAGTAAGCAGCTTCTAATTCCTCATATTCATATAAAAGAAAAATAATTAGTTCAAGCATGTATAAAGGAACTCAAAAGGAGAGGCGCATCAGCAGTAATCTCAATATATAATTTCCTAAACTACTTTTTTATGATAGCACAAAAGACCTGAGTATATGAAATGGTGAGAAATATGTGCAAGGGAGCGCTAACTAGTGTGAGGACAACTAGTAGAGAGACAAGTGAATTTTCAGTGATAGTAGGCCTACATAGGGGTCAATGTTGAGCCCATATCTCTTTGCTTAGGTTATGGAAGAGTGAACTAGGTACCTATAAGATGAGGTATCATGGTGTATGTTGTTCGTAAATGACATAATTTTGATTGACGAGACTAGAGGTGGCGTCAATACAAAGTTAGAACTTTCGAAGGGCCCATTAATTTTTAAAAATTAAGATACCATAGAAATTTGGAAGTGCCCATTAATTTTTAAAAATTAAGATACCATAGAATTTTGAAAGAGCCAACAATGCCATAGCCTAACATTACATTGGTAGCTAAGAACAATATTTCCTTCTCTAACTACGATAACAGGAAATGATCATGCCTTGGGAATTACATCAAAAAGAAGAAACCAATGTTTTTAATCCTCATTAGCCCCTCCCTCCATTATCAAGTTTAGAACTATAACCAAATAAACTATTGGTAATCTAGGTAGCATGCATTACTACTACACAATTCCTAGGGGTGGCTATGGGCTGGAAGCCCTGCCCAGAAAAAACAGAGCCTGGGCCACATAATGTGGCCCGAGGGCCAGGCCAAACCAGAGCCATGGCCACAACAAGCCAGCCTAGCCCAAAACATTTTTTTTCTTAATTGCTCTTGCCCGGTTGGGTGGGGCTCAGAATGGCCCTATAAGGATGGGGACCCGGCTAAGGCTAGGGCTGGACCAGCCTGCTGCGAGCCCTACAATTCTCAAAAGAAAATGCAGGGCTACAATGGCAAACTCATCAATTACGAGCATGAAGTAAGTATCACCTACCACTGGAAAAAATAAAATAGGCCAAAGCAAGTGTACTCTATGTGAGTCAGTTAAATCTATTCACTCTTTGAAAAAGGAGATCAAATACCTTGTCTTTAATACCAACTACACGGTTAAAAACAATGGCCCGATGTCCTCCCTCAACAGTGTAGAGACTGTTGAAGGCTGCATATATACCAAGACCACCAAGTACTGCAGCTGTTGACAATGCTGAAGCTGCACCACCCCCAGGCACCTTTGGAACTCTAACGTTCTTGAAATTCATATCAACTGGAAATCCAAATATTGGGAAACAAAATGTTAGCTACAAGTCCTGAAATCTAAACGAGCTGACACAACCATAAATTTGACTCAAAATGGTGCAGAAAATGAAAAGGACAAAATGTTGAAGCATACCAACACACGGTCCATTAAAAAAATGACTAGGATTTTTTCATTAATTAAAACATCAATACTACAAACACATCATTGCACACACTTATAAATATTTAAATAATCATTCACAACCTTTCCAACAAAGAAAACAACTCTAATAATGCAAAAAACACTATTCTTCTTTCATATGATGAATAAACAATCATTTGGAGCATGAATAAACAATGTCTAAGCAATCATTCACCACGTATTATTACAACCACTGTTCGACAACTAGATCATGCAGCCTTCTAGGTGGTTTGGGAGGGCAGGCCTTCGAACCACATGGGCCTAGGTGGGAGCGCTCTGTAGCCATAGGGGGAGGACCTTGATGCCTTCCTAGGCCTCCGCCTATAGCTAGGTGCCCAAGCGGTGCCTTGACAACCCTATGCTGAGAGCTAAAAAAGGCACTCAGCTAAGGATGAAATAAGATTTGTCCCCAATTTAAAAGGGGGGAACGAGTGTTCGGGGAATTTTGGCACCCCAGACATCATTAAACCCTTCTTGAGCGAGAAAACCTTGATTAAATCTAAGATTTATCGAACCTTCAATTTCTTGGGAAATTGAAAAGCAATCAATCTTATACTTGTAGTGGTTCGAAGTGGTTATGGAAGAGGTCTTTCAGATATATATATATATATATATATATATATATATA